CATGAAAGCGATAAACTGCACATAAATCTGGGTACAAATGTAACCAGACAATGCATTCTCCAGACTCGCGGTTGCTTATGAATTCTCAAGTGTTTATTTTCAAGACTTCCTATGGAAATAGTAGTGTAACCACTGCTGAAGATTTCTCATCTTCAGCAGTATGCTTCTAGGCCGAAGTGGGTTTGGAAGTCGAATGCGTACAGTACCGGTGGCGGGAAATGTTTTTTCACATAAAATCACTTTTCCTAGCTGAACCTGAGTTTGCCGCGTACGTTGCTAAGGTAAATTTCCTCAAAAAAGCTCCACGTTCTGCTTATTTTCTTTGTCAAGGTCAGCGCAACCATCTAACATTCGGCGAGCTCAAACCTCCTCCAATGCACCTCAAGGGCAGATATCCGTGGTCAGGTCAACACCTATTCAACGCTTTGAACCCTCGGTCGTCCACAATGATCGTGCAAGACCCCAAAATCCCCCTGTCAACTATTCTCAAACCAATTCCCTGGAGTCATTTTTCCGACCTACGTCTGCCGACTCCAGTGACTCCGAGGACTGTATCTCACTTAGCGATTTCGTACTGAATGAAGAATAAATGAAATTTCAGCTCAATTTTGAATATCCTGATTGTCGTTATTCCATTGGTTTGTACCTACCAAACTGTGCTTTAATCTTGTTAATGTAAATACACCTGAATTTGCATATGCACACGAATTACAAGACCTTCGATCTTAATAGTTGTCAGCTAGTGAGCAAGAACTCCCATTCTTGGCTGCTAATTTAAGCCAATAATTAGCGTAGGGGTTTGCTATAAAACGAGGAAGGTCAGGTAAGCTTCTTTGAGACTGCTTTCAATAGCGATTTTTATGAGGCACTAATTCCTCATTACTCACAAATACACGTAACGATGCGAGTAAATTTTAAAATGGGAATAATAATAATAATAAAGGTTTGATTGCCGGGATCACCACAAATTTCTACTACGCAATACCATTTTGCCTATATATCATGCGCCGCTGTGCGGCTGTTGGTTGAGCTCGAGGGAGAGTCCATAAGGCACAACGGAACGAGTGAGTTCCGTATGAACGATCGGTGAGCGCCCCCTAACATTGCATTAAGGTTTGTTTGCGCTTAGGATATATATGATGGCGAAAGCAACTAAGAGTCTTCGTAAATTCTCATCCAGCTTAGGCCGTTTGTTTCTCTGGCTGAAGGTTGAACCGCAAAGCATGGGAGGCGAAGGGCAGTTCAATACACCGACGTGCAAGTTATTACCGGAGTTCCAGGCCCTAAGCAGCTCCCAGACCGTCTTTCTGTCCTCTGGCAGCACTAATAAGGCCTGTTTGTGCTTGCGTGTCCGCAAGATCAGTCTGATACATGCAAAATGAAGTTTATTATACGTACGAAAAATTGATAAACGGCGTCAGGTCGTCCACTCATGCTCAGTCCGTCTTTGATCTGTCTACATGGTTCTCTTCGCCGAAGCCCGGTCCCGTAATAAGGCGTTTATGGCCCAAAAGGCATTTTTGTGGGGCAGGGGGTGTCAACGATTCCCTAGCTCTTGTCTTCTTCTGCCTAGGGTGATTACGAAAGTACAAGGTTCTAGGATTACCGTCCCTGCGGATTGTTTATACTCTTCAGGAGGAAACAGTTTCGAATTCTGTTCGTGTTTTATAGGGAAAAAGCTTGATTAACATCTAGAAACCAGAAAATAGATGAGCGATGCGACTTTATGGGGAGATTTCGGACCGAGTAAAAGGCATTTGGAAGCAAAGGTAAAGCGTGCCACGACTGTTTTAATTTTTTAGGCTCAGGATTTCGGCCTTAATCGAAAAACCCTAATGCAATAAAATATCCTCCTCGTTTGACCTATATAGAATCCGTTAAACTGTACAGCTCCCTCCAACTTGATCTCCTTAGCGATTGAATAGTGCAAATTTATTGACCAGAGTGCACGGTGTTTGGCACTGGTTAATTACGCCATCAAAAAATGACTTTGACTCATGAACACTAAACGTGAGGTCAAGAAAGCATGAAACAAGGGCATGAAATAAAGGGCACTCCTATGGGCTCCCCTATATCAGGCCTAATTGCTGAAGTAGTCCTTCAACGGGTAGAACACTTGGTGTTCACCAAATATCAACCAAAGTTCTGGGCCCGCTATGTCGATGACACCTTCGTCGTTGTCAAAACAACTGACATAGAACACCTAAAGGGACTACTGATCTTGGTTGACCCATATATACAATTTACGATGGAAGCGGGAACAAACAACCAACTGCCCTTCCTTGACGTACTTGTGCGCCTGTGTACCACTGGACAGCTGCAAACTACAGTATTCTGAAAATCCACCGACACGAGACAGATCCTACACTTCAACAGCAACCATCCACTGTCTCACAAACGTAGTTGTGTCCGCATTCTATTCCAAAGGGTCGAAACACGCTGCAGCACACCAGAAGATAAAAGGGCCGAACGATTGTACCTTGTGGACCTATTTGCAGCCAATGGTTATCCCAGGCATTTCATCGAGAGAAGCAGACGTTGGGCGCCCAGACAACGGCCAAATGAGCAGCAACCCGAAGTCTGGAGGGCCATTCCTTACGTTAAAGGGGTCTCTGAAGCGGTCTCGCGACTGTTACAACCCACCAGAGTAGGCATAGCCCATCGACCACAAGCAACAATTCGACGTCGCCTAATGCAACCTAAAGACCCATTGCCACCCGCTGAAACCTCAGCAGTCATCTACAAAATAAATTGCAATGAGGGCGACTGCAACTATGTGGACGAAACTGGGCGGAAATTGCAAACTCGCCTACAAGAACACAAATCGGCCACTCGGAGGTTAGACCCTAACTCTCAACTAGCAACACACGTTGGGGAAACGGGGCATACTTTTGACCTCCAGACGGCTACCATCTTAGGCCGAGGCAACACAAAAACAGAACGGCTAACTCTCGAGGCGTGGTTCTCCGATGCCCACTCTATCAACAGGCATCTGGACCTTCCTGCAGCTTATAAAGTCCTACGTCATCACAACCGTAGAGCTCAGGACCAAACAACCACACCGGACTTAAGAAGACAGCACGGAGATAGCCCGACGCTGAGCTTACTCGGTGAGGAGGAACAAGAACCGCCAGACCGACCGCCCGAATAAAGTCCAATCAGCTCCCCTCGACGGAGTGGTGGCTCATAAAGCGCACAGGCAAAAACGCCCGTCAACCATTTCCTGAGAGGCCGACGCAGCGTGAGGAGAAAGAAAAATCGATCAGCATGAGGCCGGCCAACACAGCTTGCCACTTTAAGTTAACTTTCTGATCGATTAGGTGCAGTTTACGCTTTGACAATGAAGAGCCGACCCAGCTCTTTGAAACGTCAGCAGTTAAATAAACCTGTTCCGGAGAGCCAATTTTCTTCTTCTAATAATCTTCCCGGATCTCTAAACTTTTCCAATCTGAACAGGACTATATTCACTCTGGCGGTCTGAATTTATTGTCGTCTCTGAGAAAAATGAGTGGCCAACCGGCAAGAAATTGAAACAAGTTTTAGTCTCAAAGACGATGGAAGGAATTGTAGACCGACATTCAGTTCACCGCTTCGAAAGTCATTGCACGTACTCGCCGGCAACACCGAGACTGTTATACCGTCGATGATGAGAAATGCCGATACCTGGTTTCTACAAAATTCGGCTGTGTAGTTCCTACACCCAAAAGCAGGGCCAGTGCCATTAATGTTGCATCCTTTCCCAGACAAAACTTTCTGCGGCAGAGGCTGGGGGAAGCCAAAACGGTTGGGTGCTCCTTCAGACCGAGGACGTCATATGATAGGCAGACCGCAGGTACATGATGAACCCCTTTGAGGCCGCCAAAAGGTCTGTGGCCATCATGCCAAGGAAACTGCACCGGCCTTCGGCTCAGACTGGACAAATTTACCGCCAGAGGGTTGGGTGGAGAGAGAGAGAGAGAGAGAGAGAGAGAGAGAGAGAGAGAGAGGAAATGCGCTTTATTTTGAAATCGTAAGTTCAAAATTTTCAGCAAAAAAATTGGCTCCATTCACTGTGGGTAGTAAATAAGTTAAGAGATTATTCAACAGTCAAAGAAACGATTATTATGGGGATAGTTCAAGTCTGAGCTTCTGTATTTCTGTCTCTTCGCACGTAAGATAGCGAGCTAGGAATGGCAATACAGAGGCTCGAAAAGCCGATGTGCGACAGGGTATAAAACGGAAGTTGCGGCGCATCGGGCGGGAAGACTTGGCAGCCATAAGATCAGAATGTAGGGGATGGGCAACGTCATCTAGAATTCGACCAGCAAATTGCTTGACCGCATTGAAGTGTCGTTGTAAGATTGTGTCAACTAAAATAATATGAGAAACGCCAGCAGCAGAAGAGAGCATGCAGAGGATTCGTTTCAAAATTAAAAGATCCTTTTTTAACAGAGCAGGAAAAACGACAGGAGAACAGTATAGGATAAGAGGAAGAATGCAGGCATCAATGAATCGCCAGACTAAGGGTTGAGGTGTGTAGTAGGAACGCAAACGACGAATGTAGTAAAGGAGTTTACGAACTTTAATAAATATGGACTCCATATGGAGGGAAAAAGAAAGATTTGAGGACAAAGTAATGCCGAGATACCTGAAAGAGGATACTTCGTTAGGAAGAATGTCAGCGGAATCAGGGTTAGGAGAGGGCCGCAGTCGAAAAATGCACTGAACGCATTTTTGGTTGTTAATTAGGAGACCATTTTCCTCCGACCACGCTAGGACATGGTTTAGGCCATCCTTTAGAGACCGGAGGTGTGTCTGACTTTTGAGAGGGTGTCCAACATCCACATCGTCAGCATACTTGATCAGAAGACGGTCACTAGGGGACCTGAGATCATCAGTGTGGAGGGAGAAAAGGTGAGGGGATAGAATGGAACCTTGAAGAACACCGCAGTCATTGGGAAGGGTCGAAGATTTTCGCTTGCCAGATTGGACAAATTGGGTGCGGAAGCTAAAATAATCGCTCAGTCAAGAGACGACCCAGCCTGGAGAGCCACATGCGGAGGTTTTGGAAAGAAGAAGAGGACGCGGGACGGTATTGAAGGCGGAGGAGTAATCAAGAAAAGCGCACGCATACTCGCGGCAACCCCTTGTCCTGAGAAAGTCAGGAGCGTCTTGAACCAGTCACCCGACGATGTCAACCGTGTGCTACACAGGAAGGTGAGAGCAGAGACGATGACTTGCGCGTGATTTAGTTTACAGCGAATGTTGACTTGCACAGCATCCACTGCACTCTCTCCTCCTGCTCCACCTGGACTCGATGTCAAGACAGGGTTAAAAGGACCAGAGGCGGAGGAGGGTGCAGGTGGCTGGCACGATCGGACCCGAACTTAGACGTGCCACCACAACAGACACTTGGCCAGGATTTTTCATCAACAACAACAGCACCCCAACAGGAGTCAAAAGGACGAGGATGATGACTGCGCAGCCATGCCCACCACCTGTATGCCCTGCAGGAGCGCAAGCGCACCCAACAGCAGGGAACCAGGTGCTAGGGAACTGTTAGCGCATACCAGGCTGCGAGGGCCGGAATGCGGATGTCTGGAACGATGCACGCAGATGGCGCGCCTCACAGACAATGGACCAGTCTAAATGCATCTACGGTGTACTCTGCCGAACCCTCTTCAGCCTTATGTTCCCCGCCGTGTTAATGAAGGTCTATCTTGTGAGACCAGGGGGAATCAAAGTCAGAAATCTAACCAATAACCAGCTAGTCAAAATCGGTTTTATGCAGTCAGAAACCAGACTATCGGAAGGCAGCGTCCACATAATCTTGTTCGCGAATGACTGAACATCGAGTAGCATAGCCTATGTGGATATGGGGCATAGAGTGGGCATTTTTGCCCTCGACTACTGAAGCTTTGGAATGATTACTGACGTGGAAAAGAAGATCACCATGTACTAATTCGCACCCACTTAGGATCACAAAAAAATATGGCAAGTTTCAGCGGAACTCGTCAAATCCTGTGGGTAAGTTCGTTTATCGCAGGTGCACCGTCTGAAAAATCATCTCCAAAGTCTGCCAAGCCTTCACAGGCCGCAACACTCCATTTATAGTCGTCCCCACATTCTCTCCACTACTGAGCTGGGGGTGTACAGAGCGGAGGCCAACCAAGAAGACAGCCACTTCCATACCAGCTCCCTTCGAATAAAACTGAGGGTGACACAGTAAGGGATCCCCGCCATGGAAGTCCTGGAAAGAATCGGTGTCCCCCGTATCTATGTCATGATGAGTCCGATACAACTGTGCTGGAGAGGTAACGTCATCAAGACGGCTGACGTTAGTCCACCTTAACAAATATTTCGCGGTGACGTAGTTTAGGGCGCTTGCATGCAAGGCAAACTAGCACCTGTGCCACAAGCAGGAGACCTGAAAAGATCTGGTGTCGTAGCAGCAGATTTGACGCATCGCAAAAAAAACGGTGGCAGTCATCTTTGAAACCAGTCAGATGGCGGATGTCGATACGAAACGGGAGGTACGCATGATTTGAATGCCGCGCATCCAAACCCTTTCAGCCTATATGCATGGGCAACTGGCGTGCAGACACGGATGAGTCTCATCAGGCGCATTGGTATCCGCCGCAAGACGCGTAAAAGAGGGCTTTTATGCCATGTCGTTTGTGCGGCTAAGGTTTACTTCCGAATGGCATTGGTGCATTGTAAAGTGAGACCGATAAAAGGCAACCCATTCTCGGGGCAAACCAGCACATTGCAAACAGTGATAAGTCTAAAATGGGTGAGCCTGTCCCGAGGATCTGCCAGTCCTTCCTAGGAGGCTACCAGCTAATGGAGTGCCTCGGTCCTAGCCGGAAGTGAAATTTAGGTTAGAGTGCACCTCTTATGGTCTTTTCATGTAAGTGGGGTCTGAGACGCTCTGAATAGTAAGGTCTAGTGGATTCGAAGTTAAGAGACAGATTGTGTTTAGCATGCATAGGCGAGCCATTAAGTTTTTTCAGTCACCGTGCCCACACCACCTCCTGACCCTTTTCACCTTCTCTCCCATCGATAACTGGTAGGTGGCGTGAGAGCGTGTGTATGAAATTTGAAAATGACGTATTTTATTATCAAATGAGCGTAAAAAAGGGTATTTTGGACACGTTTTCTACAAATCGAATTTGAATTTAAAAGGGAACCGAACATCCATGGAAACGAATTCCCATTTCTTACGCGACCACTGCTCACCGAGTTTGGTTGTTGTGGACGGTCAAAATTAAGCGCATTCGAAGAATGGCACTGTAACATGCCGGAAATATTTCGGGTTTCCTTTCTTATCGACGCAATATTGCATAACCGAAGTCAAAATTTCATGGGCACATGTCACTTATTTCAGATGTAGCGCAAGTTTTCCACACCACAAACAAATCTCCGCACAGGTAACTGCTGAGTCCACTCCGTGGAGCAATAGGGGATCACATCATCCGCGAGGGCTAAACTATCGAATAGAATTAAAAAGGGAAAAAAACTCTACATCTGTGTTGGTATTTGTGAATGGCTGGTCTCTAGAACTGAATCCTGGTCTTCGGATCACAAGACGCTAAGTATGACTTGCACTTGAGTAGGCGCCTGCTTAGCAGTGCTGTCTTCAGTCATCTAAATTTTACAAAGGCCTGAGAATTAAGAATTAAGGAGACGCTTGCTGACAAGCTCTACTGTCCACACGACAGTTTGCTTTTTAGTCAGTTGTCGAAAGTTCGACATTTCAATGGCTGCTTTACTCTCTGTCTTCTGACTCAATGGTTGTTACTGATGAATAAAGGGGTATAAATAGGGAAACGCGTTGTTTGAACTGGTGGAACGTGTCTCTCTTGTTTCGGAGCCACAAACATCCTCTCCTTATGATGTAGTCATTACTTCCTTTTCCGGAACTTCATACTTCACCTCAGTCACACACTAGCAAGATTCGATTGGCAGAATAGGCGATTCTCATTTTTATTCCGGAAGTGATACTTAGTTTTAGTGGATCTTTAAAAGTTCTGATCGATTTCTATAAATACCCAAGTGACAAGAGAGGCGTTTCATTTTTCAGACCTTAGCAGGCTTACAAAAATATAGCCTGCAGCGCCTCAAGTACATATACGTTTTCGTCTTTCGCACCAACGCTGCGCTAGGTATCATCTGATTACAGTTCTCGAGTTTCTGGCATATGCACTAATGTAGCCCCTGGGACAGCTAAACGCAGTCGCCCACAAACGGCTATCAGCTGACACTAACGAATTTCCACACGAAGTTTATTCACTCACGTCCACATTGCCCTGGCGGACCGATGCATGCGCAGGCTCAGAGCCGCGCTCTAGGGTTCTGCACATAACACACATCTCCTACCAGCGTCCTTCTCCTTCTTCTCTACAACTACATTTGGCCGTGATTGTTGTGGCGCTCTGATGACGCTCATTACTTACACGCAGCACGTCCTCGTCAATGAATGCAAACTTTTGTGGATATCATTTGCTCTCCTTATCGTTTTCAACTGTATCATTCAAAGACATGGAATGTTAATATATCTGCTTCTATTTCCGCCACTGGCAGTTCCCTTCCATTTCTGAATTTAAACCAAAGTCTATTCACATCCCTGCTAGCATATAGCCTCGTCCGATGGACACTTCATATCTTATTTTTATCACAAGTGATTAAGAATACTCCAGGTTTTTGCTGGTAAATATAGCGTGGAGACGTTTCTTACATATAGTAAATAGTTCACTAGCAAGTTCTTAGATAGGCCTGGGTGAAATCTCGTCTGCATCTCGGGAAGTCAATTTTTCAACGCTCTAGCCCTCTTTAGATTAGACTGCCTAAAAAAGGATGCTGGCTATGATTGCAGTCACGAAGTCCTTCTAGGCTAGATGAAAGAATCTTCTTCCATTTGGTAGGCTGATTGGAAGAATTGCGAAGTGTGTTCAACCCTGTGTCTCTATTCAGTAATTTTGACGACCCTAGTAGTCTTTATTTACGAGATTCTATCTCCTTCTTCGAATCCACAAGCATAGTAATATGGGGTTCTGTGCTACTGTCGGATATTCCATTCGCATCTGCAATGCGTTGTTACGATCAATTTTCTTGGTTTGTTCTTCTGTGTCTTTTTTAGTCCAAAGAGTCGGTCTAGTGATTAGTGCCGAATTTTCTCCACAATTTATGTTTTCTTATAAACTCTTTCTTCAGCTTCTCCATTAGACACTCGGGTGTGTTGTAATCTCTCGTGATTATGCCACTATTGCGGATTTTTCGAAACCCCGGTAGACGTCAATCACACTTACCAGTTTATATCATCAGCCTGCCGTATGACATCATTACGTTGATAAGGTCCTCTGGACAGTTGTCTGTGGGACTCCTTTTCCGCTGTTTAAATACACGTATTTAGACATATCCATTATAAAATTCTAGTATAATGCTTTGGAACTCCTTCAAGCTTAGAACAATCGCATTTTGCTTCAGATTGGAGAAAACATGTAAAGGAACATGGACATCGTCGTCGCCGGATGCGCCAAATTCTGAATGACCATAAAAATCGACAAAACAATGGTCATGCACCAACAGCCGCCCAAAGCAGCATACTTTCGTGAAGATAGTTCTCGCAGCACACTTTGTTCCTCGCATCCACGTCAACAGCAACGAAATAAAGCCTGTGGTCTACTTCGCCTACTTAGGCAGCACACTCTCGCCCAGCGTCAAAATCGATGATGGGGTGGCTTGCCGGATCTTCAAAGCTAGCCAAGCCTTTGACCGGGGGCAGAACTCCACCTGAGCACCAAGCTGAATATGTACAAACCTGTTGTCTGACGACACTTATGTGCGGAGCAGAGGCCTGGTCGTCTACTCCATCCATGTCAGCGAGCTCAAACATTCCCATCTTAGCTGTCTCCGCAGAATACTGAAACTGAGATAGCAGAAATAATCTCGGATATGGAAGCCCTGCAACGGACTGGAGTTTTCAGAATTCACGACATAATTAGGTAACTGCAACTGCGACGAAACGGCTACCTGGTGAAGATAGGCGGTGCAAAATTGCGCGAACGACTCTTCTACAGGGCTGTTGTTACGGGTGGTCGTCGATCAGGAGGAAAAAACGGCGTTACAAGGACAGACTGCAAAACTTTCTGAAGCAACTGCGATCAACATGGAGACCCGGAAGGTCCTCGCTCAGAACCAAACGGCCTGGAGAAAGGCAATGAAGACTGGCGCAGCAATCTACGAGGCAGACCGGGTCGCCGCTGCCAAACCCAAGAGAGAAGCCCGCAAGTCTCAGATACCCCTGACCTGTAACATGGTCAGTCAACCCCGTCCAACATACCAACGCCTTCAATGAATGTTCCGCGCACGGATCGTCCTTGCCAGTTATTTTCGGACCCGAAGAATCCACCACATGACCACCGCAATTGCTGCCTCCACGACCTCTCCTCCTGCTCCGATCCCTGCGCATAGCACAACGTTACTTGACACTACCACTGTTGTTACAAATCCTCGTAACTCACCGCCGTCGATCACCGTTGCCTTTATTATCTCTGCCGCAATCACCGCGGCGATGACTGACACATCCTCCTCTACCACCCCCGCCACCGATCGAAACGCTCTTGGCGCCCCGTCAATCACCAACACCTTCACCATCAACACCCCCCACTTCCACCGATGTGGACTTGGTCCCAAACTCTCCTCACTGCAATCGCACATTTACCTCACGCATTGTCCTGGTTGGTCGCTCGGAAATCCATCGCGCTGTGGTCGGTGCACTAGTTGTCAGAGCCCCAACATATACCCATTACATTCGTCTTCACTTCCCACATAGTTCACGCAAATTCGCTCGTCTCATGGGCTTAACCGGACCCGGGCGCAAACGCGAAAGCCGTCATAAAAAATATTGTACTAGGAGTCTCTGATATCCGACCCTTCAAGATTTTTCCCACTCGAACTAACTCAAAATTTCTGGAACTTGGTAGCCTGGGTGCTGGCTTCTGTTCCCTTCTTCGCATCATTAATAGTTTGGGTTTTCATTGAATCTCGTCCTTATCATAAATAGTCGTCCATGCAACGTTCATAATTCTTCCGTAATTATTCTTCACCTCGTCTCCTCTCCATCGTCCTTCTTCTTCTCCTCCTCCTCCTCCTTCTCTAAACGCTCTTTCTTTCCTTCCCGATATACCTTCCCTGAAACTTATCTGCTAATCGACATTGGATCAATGGATAGGGGCAAGTGGATAATTATGCTGCAGCTCGTGTTAGGGGAGATAGTGAAAAACAAAAATTCCAGTCGGCACCAGGGAGAAGGTGATTCCCGGGAAGAATCTGCTCAGCTGATGGCATTGAGAAAGTCTTCTGTGCCAGAACGAGCACACTGATAGATTCATTGCTAAAAATCAAGGCTGAAAGATCACCATTGCCCACGATGCTGGCGGTAGGAAAGGAAAGGTTTTTCATCAGGGCCCCATTTGGAGGGAACGCGCTAAGTTGACTTTTTAGAAGATGCTTAGCTCAAGCTGTATCACAGACCTTTCCAGCAGCTGACACCTGCGTACTGTTCTCCACAAGTCCCACACTATACGACGATGGTAAAGACAAACAGCCAGCTCAGACCACCCCTATGTGTATTTACTCAGTTCATTCTATTTTTCAGTTTATTTGGTAAGGATAATAGGCAAAGCCTTTGAAAACCCTATTGATTACATGTCATCTCGTTCGAAATAACTGTAAACGAACAAAAAATATTCACTATTAAAACAGTACTTGGTTCATTTGAGTGGCATTGTCTCAGAGAAAATATTTGTCTGGACTGGGGATATTAATTCAAGTTCAGACTGTTGAGGGAAAACAGGGGACACAAATAATCATCCAAGCGTTTCTTGAAGAGTTGCAGGGACGTAGCCTCCACTACTGACTGAGGGAGATCGTTCCATTTCTCACTACCCTCTGCGTGAAAAATTCAGAACGAAGATTCAACCTGGACATTGTTGCCCGTAACTTCATCGAGTGACCATGAAGATTGGGTGAAAGGTGCCACTGCAACACATCCTCAAATTTAAGTCCATACTCCTTCACCTGATCCTGTGGAGCAGGATATATTGGTCGCACGAGCCGGCGTTTGTGCATAAGAGTATAAGAACATCTTCCAGCATGATTAGGAAAGGGTCAAATAAAGAACACTAACAACTCTATCCTCGCGTGCATGGCGGAATCAGACAACCGCGTTGATGCCAGAACGCCTTCCGAACGACTTATAAGGTTCCAAATAACT